TTAATTCAAAATTATAGCAAATAAAAAAAATTTAAGAAAATGTTATATCGTACGAAATATCGTTATCGCAATATTCAACAACAATACTGCATATTTTCCAGCATATTTATTAACTAGCCTTGAGCACCATCGGCTGTTGAAAAGAGCCCCGTCTGCTATTAAAAAATAGCCTAGAGCACCATCTGCTGTTAAAATCTATCCTAGAGCGCCGTCTGCTGTTATGAACTAGCCTAGAGCCCCATCTGCTGTTAAAATCTATCCTAGAGCGCCGTCTGCTGTTATGAACTAGCCTAGAGCGCCGTCTGCTGTTAAAAACTAGCCTAGAGTAGCGTCTGCTGTTATGAACTAGCCTAGAGCGCCGTCTGCTGTTAAAAACTAGCCTAGAGTGGCATCTGCTGTTATGAACTAGCCTATAGTGCCATCTGCTTTTAAAAACTAGCCTAGAGCGCCATCTGCTGTTAAAAACTAGCCTAGAGTGCCGTCTGCTGTTATGAACTAGCTATGAGTGTCATCTGCTTTTTAAAACTAGCCTAGAGCGCCGTCTGCTGTTATGAACTAGCTATGAGTGTCATCTGCTTTTAAAAACTAGCCTAGAGCGCCATCTGCTGTTAAAAACTAGCCTAGAGTGCCGTCTGCTGTTATGAACTAGCTATGAGTGTCATCTGCTTTTTAAAACTAGCCAAGAGCGCCGTCTGCTGTTATGAACTAGCCTAGAGTGTCATCTGCTTTTTAAAGCTAGCCTAGAGCGCCATCTACTGTTAAAAACTAGCCTAGAGCGCCATCTGCTTTTAAAAACAAGCCTAGAGCGCCATCTGCTGTTATAAACTAGCCTAGAGTGTTATCTGCTTTTTAAAACTAGCCTAGAGTGTCATCTGCTGTTAAAAAGAGCTCTGTCTGCTATTAAAACTAGCCTAGAGCACCATCTGCTTTTAAAAAGAGCTCTGTCTGCTGTTAAAAACAAGCCTAGAGCGTTATCTGCTGTTGAAAACTAGCCTAGAGTAACTTCTGTTGAAAAAAACATTAGCCTAGAGCGCCGTCTGCTGTTAAAAACTAACCTAGAGCGCCATCTGCTGTTAAACAGTAGCCTAGAGCACCATCTGCTGTTAAAAACTAACCTAGAGCATCGTCTGCTGTTATGAACTAGCCTAGAGTGACATCTGTTGTTAAAAACTAGCCTAGAGCGACATCTCCTGTTAAAAACTAGCCTAGAGCACCATCTGCTGTCATGAACTAGCCTAGAGCGACATCTGCTGCTAAAAAGAGCTCCGTCTCCTGTCAAAAAAAAATTAGCCTAGAGTGCCTAGATTTGATTCAACAGTGAATTAAGATTGCACTTTGAAATTCTCCGAACTTTAGAAAGATCGATTTCTCACCACAGCTCTACAAAATACTCAATCTCACCATCCAAACTTGTCAGTCATTTCAGTTTCTCTAAAATTCTCCATTAAGCATTTCATGAGCCATACTACTATAGCTGAGAAAACCATAGCATCTGATTTTGTCACCAACACTGTTTTTACAGCCCTGCGAGGACACACTAACTATACATCGACTCATATAAAAGTATTGAAATGCACCAACAGTCATCAGTGTCTTAATTCAGCAAAGCTTTACAGCTCATTTTACAACAATACACACATGTTCAACACAAATACAAAACACATGAATTTCACTGATGTATGACAGTCATAACATAACCTCTCATAACATATCCGGCAGTGACTCAAAGATTTTACCACCTCGCATTGACATTCATTGGAGATGTGACTTACTTCACACTTTAATTTTAGCACAGCGCTCTTCAAACATCCACTCTTCGCAGCATATGATTCCCTGAGCCAGCGTTTCACAGGCAATGTGGACTTTACTGGAAGATCCAGCAGACACTTTATTCTCAATCTTAACCTGCTTTCAGGTCTGCAGCCAAATGCATGCCTAATTTGATGGCTTTCATATGAAATGCTCAAAGCTCTTCAAGAGGAAGGAGCTGAATCTAATTAACATTGGTTTTAGCATGAAACAACAGTGGAAGGAGGTATAATGAAAGCCACTGTCAGCATTAAGATAGAACGCACAACACAAGTGCAGAGCAGAATCAAATGTAAATCACATCTAAACCCTGTGACCATGATTTTACAAACGATGATGATGGTTCACACAAAAATCAGTTCCTTTCATCCACTGAACACAAAAGAAGATGTTTTGTAGAATGCTGGTTGATGGCACTTATTGACTTGAATAGTATACAGTATATATACAGTATATTTGTTTCATACCATGGAAGTTGGTGGGTGCCAGCAACCAGCATTTTTCTAAACATCTTCTTTTTGTGTTCAACAGAAGAAAGGAACTCAGTAGGATTTCAAACCACTTGCGAAAGAGTAACGCCTGACTCACACGAGGCCAGCCAATGGAATTAATCTGCAATCGGCTACTGTCTGAGCTAGAGTATTTGCATAAAGTGATGTGATTGGCTTAAAAAGATGAGAAATACCCAATATCTACAGCACGCAATGCCATTGAAGTGCCGCCAACGAATCCACAATTCAGTTCGGCAAAGCTTGATGTCAGTACTTCAAAGTGAATGGGAAACGTTGATCCTGAATCCCCGTATGAATCGGGTGTAGGTGATGAGGTAATCTTCATTTTTGGGTGAACTAACCCTTTAAACTCAGGACTGCTGCTCAGTTTTTGCAGACTCTGTCAATAAATGATAACATTTAAATAGCTGGCAATAGCAGCGGCCGGTGTTGCCAGTTTGGGCATTATGCCACCAAATTCACTGACTTTCTCACAGCTTCTGTGACTTTTCTTAATGTTTTGCAACAAAGAGCTATTTTGGGAATACGGAAATAAATCTGCCAATTTTTGAGGATCTGTCTGTGTGTGTGTGTGTGTTTGTGTGTGTGTGTGTGTGTAATAACAAAACAAAATAAGGCAGTCATTCTGTCATTAGTAGCATTTTCTCAGTTCTCTCCTTATAATACAGTAATGCTGGAATCGATGCTCAGCCGCTGTGTTTAACTTGTACAATCTTTTAATCGCACGTTTTATTTATCAGCAGATTTTAGCAGTGCAGAGCAGCAGATTGTAATGTGTCTGACAAAAAATAAATAAAAAATACGGAAATGAGAAAAATTTTTTGGAACTTGAAGGAATTAAAATAGGAAAAGACTATTAAACAACGAAATAAATTGAAATGGTGGAAATGATGATGTGAAAACGTCATCATGAATATGTTAATTGGAGCATGTAAGCAATTAATGAATCAATTACTTAGCTACTTTTTATTGAAGGTTATTTGGCAATGTAATGCCAGAGCATTTTATAATATATATATATATATATATATATATATATATAGAGGCAAAACTGCTTGTCTTTTTTATTTTCTATGCAGAATGTCTATTTAAATTTGTGGGATGAAAATGTGTTTAAAATGTAAATGTTTGACTACTTACATGAATCAATCATATTTTTTGTCAGTGCAGCATTTTTATGAAGCAAAACATTCTTATGAATAACAATAATTTATTTTGTAATAATAGCAATAACAAACAGAGGACAGTACGACTACATTACTTTTATAATAACATCGCCGTTAACAAAAACAACAAACAACAACAACAAAAAAAGCATGTATATATATATTATATATATTTATTGATTAAATATAAATTATAGGCGACACGGTGGCTCAGTGGCTCACTGTGCCCTCACAGCAAGAGTTTGCATGTTTTCTCGGTGTTGGCATGGGTTTCCTTCGGGTGCTCCAGTTTCTCCCACAGACTAAAGAAAATCGCTTCTGACCTTATTTTAAAATGCGGAAGTGCGCTTGTTTTTGCAATTGTTTTAGAACTTCCGATTAAGTCGCCTATAGGAGAAAGAACTAGGAACAATAAACAGCAGAAAATGGTCAAGCAGGACAATTTAGCCTACCCAATTCACCTGTACTGCATTTCTTTGAACTGTAGGGGATACCGGAGCCACCCGGTGGAAACCCACGCGAACGCAGGGAGAACATGCAAACTCCACACAGAAACGCCAACTGACTTAGCCGAGGCTCGAACCAGCGGCCTTCTTGCTCAGAGGCGACAGCACCACCTACTGCGCCACCGTGTCGCCCCCACTTGTAAGCACAGTGCAGTGTTAATGTTCAAAGTATTTATAATGTTTCAAAGTGGCTGATAATAATAAATATTCATAATAATAGGAATTAATCTGCCTCGTTTTTGAACCGTGCAGTGCTATAGCTGCTTAATTATGCCTACTACGCTATTGTATTTCAATACTGCTCATTATGGTGGTACTTGGAGAGACGTTTTTTTTTCTGAGGTCCTATTTTGTGAAAGAAGTTTGAGAACCACTAGACTAATTGACTCCACACAACATAGTGGTGTAATCAGCAGCAACCAAATAAATCATAAACCATGAAATTAACAACTAATGGAAGGTCACACCTAATAAACTCAAGTTGTAAAGTCAGAAATGTATTATAACAGAATGATGACCAATATAGACAACATTTAATGCCCATTTGTGTTCTGAACATTCAAGTTTGATCAAGCTCTAAGTTAGATTGAGGTAAAGCTGGTTTTACATTTGCACATTCGTTCAGTGTCAACCTGTGACATACAACAACATGTAAGTATGACTTGAAAGCAACATTAGCACTATTTAATTGACTGGAGAACGTTGTACTTTGAGTCATTTGCTGCTGAAATGCTTCACTATCTAGAATTGGCAATGCATATTTTTATGAAATTATATTATTATGGAGAAAGTCTGAATGTGTGAATATAAACCAACTTCACCTCAATCTAAGTTAGCTAGCCTGCAATTAAAACTAAAACTCATATTTTATAACTTAAAACGACGAGCCATTCAAATCACAAGCGCCACATAATCATCACCTCGACATTAAATCTCATTCCTCAATAGGCAAACGCAGAATAAACGTGTGCAAATCTATTAAAACTACTGAACAGCCATTCACTCACCTCTGTCAGGACGCGCGTGCTGTTTTTGAGACGACCGCCGATCTGCCTGATCAATAAAATCCTAACATCTCATAGCGCATTTTGATTAAGATTCAACATGTGTACTTTATTAATTATAGCTTCTTCATGAATGACAGGTTATCACTTAACCTCGGAAATCAGCCTTTCTTGCATATTTTAATTCTACAGCGCGTATGCGTGCATTCAGGCGCGCCTCTCGCAGTTGTTTTGGGTCCTTGCGCTGAACTGACAGCTTTGTTTCCAACATGGCAGCGTCCAGCAGAGAACATGTACTGTCAGTCTACAGGCTGCTTCTGAAGGAGAGCAAGAAATTTCCTTCTTATAATTACAGGTAAATGTTGTGAATATAGCTGTATTTGTCAGCTGCTCGAGTTCGTGTCATTCACGCGACAGTCTCCGTGAATTACTGCCAGGTGTTTTGAGTCTCCTGTGAGCTGTGAGGCAAACTGAGTCAGTTCCCATTATGAGTGATATTAAAATAGTTTTTAACGCGTTTTCTTTGTGTTATTCGGGGTCTGAATATAAGACATGTTTTCTTTATTGTTATTTTTGACTAGTTTCATTCTCTGCACATGACATACAGGGAAGTGTTTTTGTTATGAGGTTTGGAAGAAAGTGTACATCCATTCATTTTATTTTCAGCTTAGTCCCTTCATTAATCAGGGTTCGCAACTAAGGAATTAACCACAAACTATTCCTGCACGTTTTACTCAGTGGATACTCCAGCTGCAACCCAGTACTGGGAAACACCCATACACACTCATTCACAAACACACAGTATGGCCAATTAAGCACGTACCCAGTTCACCTATAGCTTTCCCAGAGCTGGAAGGGCATCCGCTGCGTGAAACGTGCAGTATAAGTTGGCAGTTCATTCCGCTGTGGCGACCCTGTATTAATAAAGGGACTAAGCCAAAAAGAAAATGAATGAATGAAGTCAGGGGTTGGCTATGTTAGCAATGGGCTGCTAATCCATTGTGCTCTGCACCTGTGGGTTCGAATCTCATTGCTCATTTGTTCTGGCATTTAAGGGACCCCAAATTTTTTTCCCAGAGATGGGTTCCAGCTGAAAGGGCATCCGCTGCGTAAAAACGAGCTGGATAAGTTGGCGGTTCATTCCGCTGTGGTGACCCTGGATTAATAAAGGGACTAAGCCGAAAAGAAAATGAATGAATAAATGAATGAATGAATTCACCTTTAGCGCATGTGTTTGGACTGTGGGGGAAACCGGAGCACCCGGAGGAAACCCACGCCAACACGAGGAGAACATGCAAACTCCACACAAATGCCAGCTGACCCAGCGGAGGCTCAAACCAGCGACCTTCTTGCTGTGAGGTGACAGTGCTAACCACTGCACCACCGCGCCGCTGGAAATTGTACAATAGTTTATAAAATAAAATAAATAAACACTTTAATCAAATACACACTGATATATGAATGTGTGAAGGGATGTACTATTAAAATAAATGCCATATTAATTATAGTATGTGTATGTCTAATAAATGCAGTGATATTAATAGTTGGCATAATTTCTTTTGCCGTTTTGGGTTTTGTTTTTTAAATATGTTAATTAATACAAATTATACATTCATCATTCATTCAGTCATTTTCCTTTGGCTTAAGCGCTGCTTACACTGAGATTTAGTCTCTTTATTAATCTGGGGTCGCCACAGCGGAATAAACCACCAACTAATCCAGCATATGTTTTACGCAGTGGATGCTGTTCCAGCTGCAACCTAGTACTGGGAAAAACCCATTCACACTCTTTCTCACACACACACTTATACACTACGGCCAATTTAGTTTATTCAATTCCCCTATAGCGCATGTGTTTGGGCTGTGGAGAAACCGGAGCACCCGGAGGAAACTCACGCGAATACGGGGAGAACATGCAAACTCCACACAGAAATGCCAACTGACCCAGCCGAGACTCAAACTAGCAACCTTCGTTGTACGTTGTCAAACGTTGTAGTGATATATACATTTTAATTATACACAACACACATACTCATGTTATGTACACACAAACTTTCATTTTTAATCTGGTTTATCATTTGAGCAAAACTTTTTTTATTTAATTTATCAATTTATTACATTTATTTAATGCATATTTACACATTAGATGAAGTGTTTTACATGCGTGGTACTTTGCGTTATACAAATATGTTACCTCTTTTATTAAAATTATTTTATTTAATAGGGCTGCATCATACTGGAAAACAGATTACACTGCAATATTTAGTTGTTCCTGCGATGTCTATTGGGAAATGAAATGTATTTGCTTTATTTGTGGAAAAAGGTCATTATTGTAGAATGATTGGGCTGTCTTTGTAGGAGCGGGTCTACTTGAAATATAATAAACTTGATTAAATTAGTTATTTGTGGCTCAGTGGTTAGCATTGTTGCCTCACAGCAAGAAGGTTGCTGGTTTGAGTCCTGGCTGGGTCAGTTGGCATTTCAGTGTGGAGTTTGCATTTTCTCCCTTTGTTAGCATGGGTTTCCTCTGGATGCTCCAGTTTCCCCCACAAGTCCAAACACATGTGCTATAGGTGAATTAGATTAACCAAATTGGCTGTAGGGTTTGAGTTTGTAAATGAGTGTGTATGGGTGTTTCCCAGTACTGGGTTGCAGCTGGAAGGGCATCTGCTGTGTAGTCAGAATAGTTGGCAGTTCATTTAGCTGTGGCGACCCTTGACATAGAGACTAATGAATGAATGCATGTTAATGGCTGCTTCAGAATATATTGTTTTGAGTTCAACAGACGAAAGAAACTCAGTCAAAGTTTAAAGCCACTTGAGTGTGGGTAAATGTTGAGGAAATGTTCATTTTTTAAAGAAATACAGACTTATGTTTGTGTAAAACAGCACTTTGTACCATGCATTTCATTCAGTATTTAATTTATGATTTTATTCAGTACCTCTTAAAGGGACAGTTCTCCCAAAAAATAAAAATTCTCTCAACATTTACTTGTTTCAAACATTTATCTTTCTGCTGTTGAACATAACAATCGTCATTTTGAAGAATGCTGAAAACCTGTAACCATTGACTTCCATACTATTTGTTTTTCACACTATGCAAGTCAATGGTTCCGCATTCTTTGCAATATCTTCTTTTGTGTTTCACAGATGTAAGAAACCCATAAAGACTTTTTAACCATTTGAGAGTGAGTAAATAGTGAGTTAAGCTTGGGTGAACAATCCCTTTTAGCAGTTTCATCCAGCAAATTACTGAGCGAATAGTGTTCTGTCGCTTCATGAAATCATCTGAAACTGTGGTTTATTTGACAAATCTTGCATCTAATCCAATTCAGACACTGCAAGAGCATCGCTAGCAGCAAGTGTCTGTCTTCATCTTTGTTTCCTTCATGGCAAATCTCTACAATTGGTTAAAGTCAGTCAGAGCTGAAGTTAAACACATCTTTTGACATCTGTGGAGATTCTGCAATGCTTTGGCCATTTGCCTAAGCTTTATTGTATTGATCAGTGGTCCTTTAGGGTTGTAAGGTTGGTTAGTTCTGGCATTAAACCTGTTGTGTTTAAATCTTTTATTTAATTCTATTTTTAATTGTAATTTATTTAACTGTATTTTTTTTTGGCTTTTTAACATTTAATTTAACTTTATTTTATTTTAAAGTATTTTAGTTACTAGTCATGAAATTTTATTAAATCTACTGGCTTTATTTTATTTATTTATCTATTTATTTATTTATTTATTTATTTATTTATTTATTTATTTTATAATTTTGTTAAAATCTTATTTTGTTTTATTTTTAATAATTTGGTTACCAGTCCTGATGGCGTTAAATATTTTATTTATTTATTTATTTATTTATTTTTATTTTTTTTATTTATTTATTTTTTTTTTATATTTATTTTTTTATTATTTTTTTTTTATATATTACCAGTCCTGACATTAGGCCTGAGGGTTTTAAATAGTTTAGTTTAGTTTAGTTTAGTTTAGTTTAGTTTAGTTTAGTTTAGACATTAAACCTGCTGGTTTAATTTAATTTAATTTAATTTAATTTAATTTAATTTAATTTAATTTAATTTAATTTAATTTAATTTAATTTAATTTAATTTAATTTAATTTAATTATTTAGTTTAGTTTAGTTTACTTTAGTTTAGTTTAGTTTAGTTTAGGTAGGGTCCTGACATTAATCGTGTTGATTTTATTTATTTATTTATGTATTTAGTTTAGTTTAGTTTAGTTTAGTTTAGTTTAGTTTAGTTTAGTTTAGGTAACAGTCGTGACATTAATTTTGTTGATTTTGTTTATTTTGTTTATTTTTTTATTTTTCTATTTATTTGTTTAGTTTAGTTTAGTTTTGGTACCAGTCCTGACATTGATCTTGTTGATTTTTTTTATTTATTTTTTTATTTATTTGTTTGTTTGTTTTTTGTTTGTTTGTTTGTTTGTTTGTTTTTTAAGTCTTTTGGTTACCAGTCCTGACATTATATTATACACACCGGCTTTATTTAAAATATATATATATATATTTTTTATTTTTTTTAATTATTATTAGTTTAGTTTTATTTTTTAGTTTAGTTTAGTTACCAGTCCTGACATTAAATTTGTTGGTTTTAGATATTTTATTTTATTTATTCGTTTATTTAGTCATGATATGTTATTAAACCCACTGGCTTTATTTTATTTTTTAATTTTTTATTTATTATTATTATTATTATTTATTTATTTTTATTTTTATTATTTATTTAGTATAGTTTTGTCTTGGTTATTATACCTGACATTAAACCTGTTTCACCTCACCACTCCTGTCACTTTATACTGTTTATCGTGTTTATTATTACTATTATTATTATTATTTTAATTCTAACCTATTTTAATTGCTATGAAATGTTTGCATGCATTTATTTACTAATTATTATAATTTTTTTTCATAATTTTTTTTTTTTTTTTAAATTTCTCTGTGTGAGATACAAAATAAAACCGAAGAGAATCACAGTTGATATTACTTTTAGCTTATTCATCACATTGGAAATAGAAGGTCAGATTAAGTGCGTTGCATTCTGGGATACACAATTTTCTTACACCGTGTGCTCCGTTTTATACTGAAGCACATTGTGGGAATGTAATTATTGTTGCAAGCCAGATATATTTCTATGCATACAGAAGCCAATCATATTCACGCATCCTATACAGCAGAAACAGTGTGACTCTGATGGTGTGTTACTGGAAACACTGCCAACCAACTTCTGCACCTTACACTTTAGCTTTTTTAA